TGTTGCAACTTGTTCAATGCCTTCATGTGTCGGCGGTACGGCACCCAGGTTTCGCTCCCATATAACATGGTGGGGATTATAATTGCTTGGTACACAGCCAGTTTCGTTTTTGTACTCAAGTCATGATTGTAGAAAACCCTGTCTTTTAATTTCCAGAATGCTATTGAGGCGCTGCTAATCCTGTGCTGAATTTCAGAGTCGATATTAGCCTTTTCCGAAATCAAACTGCTGAGGTAATTAAATTCCGCTACATATTCCAATAGTTCTTCTCCGATTATTATAGCATTGTTATGATCTTCCGGGGGAGTGCACATGTTTTTGGTTTTGTCGATGTTTAGCTTCAGGCCCAAAGCCTCGTATGCCCAAGTATATGTGTTCAACATTTCTTGTAATTGTTGTAACGTGTTTGCAACTAGAGCGCAGTCATCAGCGTATTGAAATTCTGTGATGAATTTTGTACGTGTTTTTGCCCTCAGTCTTTTTGTGTTGAACAGACCGCCGTCATATCTGTATCTAATGCCCAATCCTCTCTCCTGCAGTTTGATGTCCACTATAATGGAGAGCGCTGCCATGAATATGTTGAATAGGAGAGACGCTAAGACACTTCTAATCTCTGCCTAACTCCTGTATTTGTCAGGAAGGGATCGGTCAGTGATCCATGATGTGACACTCTTGACTGGTTGTTGTTATGGAGGCTTTTACACACTGTAAGAAATTTGTTGGGTACTCCGAACTTTTTCATAACTGCCCAAAGTGCATCTCTGTTCACAGAGTCGAAGGCTTTTGTTAGATCAATGAATGCAACATAAAGTTTAGACTGCTGCTCTTTTACTTTTTCCTGTAGGTGGCGGATGGAAAATATGGAGTCGACGGTGCCACGGTTGGTGCGAAAACCCGTTTGCGATTCTGGAATGATTTTTTCTATATGTGGGTGAAGGCGATTTGACATAATTTTTGTAAGAATTTTTCCTCCGATAGCCAATAGTGAAATTCCCCGATAATTTCCGCAGTTTGATGCACTTCTTTTGTTCTTAAATATATTCGCGTTGCAAAAGTCCTGAGGTACATCGCCGCTTTCCCATATGACATCGAAGAGAGCCTTAAGATGAATAAATAAATAAATAAATAAATGCCTTTATTGTCAAAAAATTTTTCAATTTGTAGACAAAGGTAAACTAACAAACAAAGTAGAAAAAAAACAAGGTACACAAACAAACAAACAAAAGATAATACAAAACATTATATAAATAATATTGTCAGTCTTATTGTTAAAATAAACATTTATAAATGTTTACAATGTCAAAGAACAAAAAATTTAAAATAATATTCAAAAATATTTAGCCAGTTTATAGCAAAATATTAATGACCTCTAAATAAATTAATTTCGATGTCATTAGTAAATATAGCAATAGCAAACATTAGACCAGTGTTTTCAAGATCAAATTCGATTTTCAATTCAAATATAATTCATTTACGGCGTAGAAAGCCTTGTCTAGTAAATAAGAGTTCAATGCTTTGCGAAATGAAAAAATGATGTTATGGATTTGATTTCAAATGGCAGGTGATTGTGCATTTTTTTCGAGTTGTATAATATTGAACTTTTAACTAACTCTGAGCGTGGGGTAGGTAGATAAAGATCTTGCTCCGCGTTCCTGAGTGGATAAGTGTGAGATGGCCTTTCTTGAGAAGCTGATACATGTTTACGTATTAGGCAAACGGATTCAAATATAAATAAGGAAGGAAGAGTCAATATTCTTAATTCCTTAAAAAGTCCCGGCAATGAGTTCTGCTGTTTAGTCCTAGTGAATATCGAACAGCTCTCTTCTGGAGCTTGAAAATGCGGTCAAATTGAGTCGCACAACACGTACCCCAGAATGGAAGGGCATACCTGAGGTGCGACTCAAAAAGTGCATAATAAACAGTTCTAGCCACCGACAAGTTAAGCTCCTTAGAAACAGACCTTAATGCAAAACAGGCAGAGCTCAATTTTTTCGACAAAGCTTCGATATGTATGTCCCATTTCAGAGAATTGTCCACAACAAGCCCTAAAAATTTTACAGATTTTACGACGTCAATGGTAGTGTTGTTAAGTACAAAAGGCTGCAACGAGTTTTTTATACGACAAAGCTTTAGTTTTAGAAATGTTGAGACTCAGGAGGTTCGAATCGCACCAAGATTTAATGGTGATTAAGTCATTTGATATAATCCTATGAAGTGCCGTGATGTCCTTGTTGCTCCAAGTGAAGCTAGTGTCGTCCGCAAAAAGACATATTTTGCCACTGATGTTTATGTTAGCAATGTCGTTAATAAAAAGAAGAAACAAAATAGGGCCTAGTACTGAGCCTTGTGGTACTCCACATTCTATTGGCTTGCTAGAAGACAACGTGGTATCCACCCTCACAAGTTGACTTCTGTTGCACAGATACGACTTAAACCATTCGAGAGATGATCCCCTGAACCCATAGTGCTGCAGTTTATTAATTAGGATCTTATGACTTACACAATCGAACGCCGATTCCCTGTGTAAGGAGGTGGAATTCTGGACACCACCACATAATTCCAGTCTTCTCTTATGGCGGCCTTAGGAGGTTGCGATGACACTATTTCAGGTGAAACTAGTTTTTTTGGCGAATCTATAAAAGCTGTACTATTTTGGTGATCTATAGGACCCGTCTGCGTTGAAATGGATTTTTTCCGCTGCATATTATGATCTGTACAGGTCTTATCTCTTGTAACAAGCTTTTCCAATGTGAGCGACATTTGTTTAACGCTCTGCCTAAGGTCAGCCATTTCCTTCGCCATTTCTTCCTTAGATGGGTCATGAACTTGGACTTTAACAGACCCATCATGGTTGTCCATTAAAATTGATGATAAATTGAAGGTGTCTTGCTTTATCTCATTTATCGACTTAAATAAGGATTCTTGTGTGGTATCTGATATCCTGGATATGTCATCATTTTTCTTGAGTAAAATTTTCCACTTGGAATCGTGGTCACTCAGCATGTCATACATTTCAGTTATGACTGGAAAAATGTCAATTTTTTTTTAAACAGAATCCTAGTGCTTCGATGATTTCTGGTTTGACCTGGCATTCTTGAAGCTGTGTAATCCTATCATGAACATATTTTAATGTAGGAGAATCGCAGACAGTGCAGAAAAATCTAACGTTGTGGTACTTTTGTTGACATAGCACCTTTGTTGTTGCCTTATCCAGTCCTGTACAGATCATACAAAAACTTCTTCGACACTCTCCACTACAGCGAACCTTATAACTGTCCTTTTGGATTTTTTGACAAGAGTCGCACTTAAATTCAGCCGTAATAATGTAAATGATTAATAATATTAATAAAAGTCGATGACAGCTGAATAAAATTCGGAAGTATAAACAAGCTAAAACTCACGCACAGCGGAAACAAGTACGCCGAAAAATTATCAATTAATGTTGCAAAAAACTAACACAAGTAAACAAAGTCAAGTTTAAACGAACAGTGAACTTTGAGTTGATTTCGGGTCAGGAACAAAAACAAGTCAAATCAAAACAAAACAAAACGTTCAATAACCGGCAGACAAAACGCACGATCGGTAACACAACTTTCTCGTACGACTGCTAAACTGTTACTGAATGACCAATAAGTTCTTTACTTGCACACTTATAGATTTCCGCCGGGATCGCGTCACAGCCAGCTGATTTGTTGTATTTAAGCTGTTTTATGGATGCCATTATTTCCTGTTCTGTTATTGGAGTATCTAATACATCGAGGCTGTTATACTGAGGTATTGTGTTTAGTGCTTCCATATTCGGGTTGTTTCCTTGGTTAAGGATATGGCTGTAATGCTCTTTCCAGCGGTTTCTAATTTGCTCTTCCTCTTTTAGAAGTTCGCCATTTTGTGCTTTTTGGATTGTGTGGATTTGCAGTGACTGCTTGATGTGCTCTATGCTTTTGTTCCAAGAAGGTCGGTATATGAGGTTGATTTTCGTTAAACCAGTCTGGTTGTTTCTTTTTGTTGGACTTTCCCAGTACTGCTTCGCTAGTTTTATGAATCGCATCTCTTAATTGTGCCCAGGCTTGTTCAGCTTCCAAGATTGAGATTGAAGTTATCGGTGGAAGTGATTCTTTGATATTTTTTGTCTCTAAACCCCGTACGTTCAATCTGGTCATGTTGTTTTGCTTTTTACAGTGTGGATGTTTGGGTTTTAACTGGACTTTCATTTTTGAAATTAAAAGTCGGTGGTCAGTGCCGCATTCGGCATCTATTCTGGCTTTTGTTAGTCTGACATCTTTTAGATGCGTCCTTCGAAAGATTATGTGGTCCAATTGATGCCAGTGACCTGATCTGGGATGTTTACAGGTACCTTTAAACTTGTCCTTCAACATGAACCACGTTGATGATGCCATTGGTGATGCATAGATTATACTCTGTGCATGTTGTAAATAAGCGTTCACCATTGCTATTTACGTTTCCTATTCCATGTTTTCCCAATACGTCAGGCAATATTTCCTGTTGTCTACCGACACGAGCATTAAAGTCACCTAGCAAAATGATTCGTTCGTGCTTTGGAATTCGTTGGAAAGCATTTTGTAGGGCTTGGTAAAATTTATCCTTATCCTCAATTTTAGCCTCTAGGGTGGGAGCGTAGGCACTAATGTACTACCAATTGTATCGATGCAAACAATATCAAAGGGTTTTTTGAAAAAATATTAATACTAAAACTCACGAACAGATAGTTTTGAAGCAAATCAACAACCGAAAGACAATAAAATAAAAATGATGTTTCTTGAATTTGAATTAACTCCGCCATTGTCTGGTCCCAAGTCCAGAATGAGAAAGGAGGAGGGTTTATAAGTCAGGCTAGCTCCCTACCTATTGTAAAAAAACACAAGGCTCACAGAACTACAAGTTTGCCTCGGAACAGGATTGATTTAACGGTAACGACAAGCGCGAGAAATAGGACTAAGATTTGGAAAAAGAACAAAATAAGGATAGCCACTTGGAATACTATGTCCTGGAACAACAAGGACCAAGAGATCATCAACGAACTCAAAAGCAACAACATCGATATATGCTCCATCAGCGAAACCAAGAAGAAAGGAAAGGGTAAATACGAAATCGATGACTACACTCTAATATACAGCGGTGTTTCACGAGACAAAAGGGGACATTCGGAAGTAGGTCTATTGATCGACCGAAAATATAAAGACCATATTGAAAAAGAGGAATACATAAGCGATAGAATATTGCTGGTTACACTGAATGTCAACAAAGAAAACATCCATCTAATTAGCGTATACGCCCCGGACATAAGTAAAGACAGAGCCGAAAGGGAAAGCTTCTACGAGGAGCTACAAGAAGCTGTTGACAGAATACAGGCCAAAGATAAAATAGTGATCATGGGAGACCTGAATGCGAGAGTGGGAAATGAGCCACTAGGTGGGGTTACTCAGAGATTTAATGAAGAGGTGATGAACGATAACGGTGACTTACTTAAAGCATTCTGTGCAGTTAACGCGCTGAGAATTAACAACACTTTTTTTGAACACGACATGAAGTACAAGTACACATGGCAGAACACAAGGGGCCAGCAATCAGTGATTGACTATATTATCACTAATAGATCAATAACACCACAGACAATATTAGACGTAAGAACACTGAATGCGGCTAACATAGGCAGCGACCATAAATTACTACTATGTAAGCTAAGATTGAGTATACCCGCATCCACAAAACCAAAACCACATCGAATGAATAAATTCAACATTGAATCTCTGGAAGACAACAACACAAAACTACTCTTTGAAAATAGACTAACAAACAAAATAAACGAAAACCCAACAAACAGAGAACATGACATAGATGAACAATGGAAGACAATAAAAGACAATATACTTTGGTGCCGCCGAAGAAGCCATAGGAAAAAGAGAAATTTACATCAACAAGGTTAACAACACGCCATGGTTCACGCCAGAAATAAAGGAATTGTCCAGCCAAAAGAAAGAATTTTATATACGGTATCTACGAAACAAAACTCCAGAGAATTGGAACAGCTACAAAAATGAACGAAACAGAGTAAACGCGACGATAAGAGCGATTAAAGAAGACTATTGGGAAAGATTCACGAAAGGAATGGAAAGGGACATGTATGGAAGCCAGAGAAGAATTTGGGGAATGTTAAGGAGAAACAAACAAGAAATAAAAGATACAGTACAAACAAACAAAATTACTATAGATCAGTGGGAAACGTACTTTAAAAATCTATATAGGGAAACAGAACAAATCGAGCAGCCTATAATAGACACAGAAGACGACAACAATATAGAACTAACGATTGAGATGATAGAAGATAATTTTAAATCCCTCAAAAATCGAAAGAGCCCAGGTCCTAATGAACGAAATGCTCAAATACGGCGGACCCAACCTGCAGAAAGAAATATTAGCATTTTTTCAGAACATAATTAGTAAACAGAAAATACCCGCCGAATGGAAGAACAGCACAACGATACCCATATTTAAAAAAGGTCAAAAAACAGTCCCAGAAAACTATCGCGGAATAACATTATTAGACAGCACCTTAAAAGCATTCACTAAGACAATACTACAGGAAATCAGTAAAACTATACAAATTAGAGACGAACAACAAGGATTCCGCAAAAACCGCTCGACTATTGACGCAATATTCATTGTTAGACATATCGTTGAAAAGTCCCTGGAACTTAATAAGCCAGCGTATATGTGTTTTGTAGATATGACAAAAGCTTTCGATAGAGTACGCCTGACAGATATATTGCAGATTCTAGAAACAAAAGGACTAAACCCGAGACTAATCAACTTAATATATGACATCAACACCAACTGCAAAACAGCAATAAAAGTTCAACATCTGTTTACTAACGAGATACTCATCCAAACAGGAATAAGACAAGGTGACTCCCTCATACCATTTATATTTAACTTAATCATGGATCAAATAATAGAAAATCTACCAAAAACGGCAGGTTACAAAATGGGAAACACCTTCTTCCACGTTGTATACTACGCTGATGATGCAGTACTCATTGCAGATACAGAGGACAATCTTCAGAGACTACTACATGCGTTTAATCTAAAGGCCAAACAATTAAACATGATAATCAACACCGAAAAAACAAAATGCCTGGTAACATCCAAGGAGGCGGTAAGGTGCAAACTGGAAGTGGACTCAAAACTGATCGAACAAGTGAATCACTTTCAGTATCTAGGGGTTGGAATATCAAGTTATGGCAACCTGCAGAAAGAAGTTAGAGAACACACTATGAAGGCGTCTCGCATTTCGGGCTGTTTAAATGACATCGTCTGGAGGAACAAGTATCTCAACACAGAGAGCAAGATTAGAATATATAAAGCCGCGATAAGACCAGTCATCACGTACGCAGCCGAAACAAGACCAGACACGGCCAAAACAATGCAAATGATGAGAACAACAGAAATGAAGGTGCTGAGAAGCATACACGGAAAAACACTACATGATAGCGAGAAACGAAGATATTAGAGAGTGGAGCAAAATCCAGGATATAGGAAGATGGGTTAGACAAAGGAGAAGGCACTGGAACAAACACGTAAGAAGAATGGACGACAACAGACTAGCAAAAAAAACGCAACAAAACAACCCAATTGGAAAAAGGTTGCAAGGAAGGCCGCCAAAACGGTGGAGAGAATGCTGGACGTCGTCCTCCGGGGAAGACTTGTTAGGATTGAACAGGCGATAGCCTACCTATATGGGCAACCATAATAGAAAGAAAGAAAAAGAAGAAGAAGAAGAATTTGAATTTCAATATAGAGGGATTGCTATGGAAGCTAGACCCCCCATACAGATATTAAAGCGAAACCATGAATCCAAAAAAACTGTTGCAGATGTTAACCAAACGCTGAAATCCATCTTCGAGAAGTCGCAGAATTTGGAAGTCAGGCAGGAAGTCAGGTTAGACCCTTAAACACAGACTCCATTAGCCTTTCAAAAGTTGCTGGCGCATTGCACGTCCAAAGAGCATGACAGTAAATTGCGACAGTCTAGATCCAACTGAGAATGCTGTCTCCTTTCTGTCTTTCGGCGCCATGTCGACTTGCCAATATCTACTCTTCAGATCTAAGGTAGAGAATATTGTCAACCCCGCCAGCATGTTTATAGTATCGTCTATCCTCGGCTATCCTTCTTGGTAACATTTTAGAGCTGTCGATAATGAAAACAGAACGTGGTGGTATCGTCCTTCTTCCTTACTAGTACTACCAGCGATATCCACGGGCTGCTAGATGGTTCGATGACACCCTCTTCTTTCATTTCTCGAAAGATATTGTCAGCTTCTTCGCGGTTGGCGAGAGGAAGTCTTCTTCGATTTTGTTTTATTGGTCGTGCAATTGTAAGTTGTAATTTTATGTTGTACTAAATTGGCACGACCTCTCTGCACTACTTCTTCTTTCTCAAACACATCGTGATACTTGATTATCAGGTTTCTCAATTTTCTACTGTCTTGGGAAGATAATTCATTAACATTTACTAGCGCCTTCACCATTGTGTCCCAAATTTTTGAAGCCAATAACTGAGGAGACCGAACAACAGTACTCTAACAGGGTTCCCTTCTTCAAGGACAGAGAATTGTAATTAGTGTTCATTACTCTCACTGGTACGGTCTTCTTCGCTCGTAGCAGGGCTTTTCCTACAGCGATCCCTCGTCCTATTTCACTGTCGTGGTTCCTTGGCTCCAACAGCCATACTCCCACTATTCATTTTACCTTCCAGGCAACCATCCAAAAATATATCACAGCGCTCAGGGACAGAAACATCTTCTGCTACAACCACGCGAAGCGTCAAGCGTCTCCTCACATTTTCAATGAAGAACAACTTCTTCTCCATTGACTTTTAAAATTCCTTGTCTGAAGTTCTGTTCAAAGCTTCTGGTGGTCATGACGTCCATTCCTAGAATAAGTTCCTCTTTGATGTCTGCTACTTACATTAGTACTTTTACTAACATTAGTAATTTGTTATGGGCGAAATGCCCAAATTAAAGCACCTACAACATCGATGTAACAAACTACCACACTTATTATTTTACTTAAATATTAAATTAATTCTATTTTGATTGAAAAATTATTGGACCATGGCACCATGGCCTTTTATTATCTTACATTACATAATAATAACTGTGATAATAAAGTGTAAATAAGACATTTAAACAAATAAAATATTATTGGCTTAGAATTTTTTTAAGAAGTATTTTCTTAAGTCATTACAAAAGAAAGTTTTTTTTAAGTCATTACTCAGGTGAAAAAAAATTGAGTGACACTTAAGATTAAATATATAGAAAAAAAATATTTTTGCTTACGATTATTTGTGTTTCGTAAAAAATTTCAATGTTTTACCAAAGAGCACTTGATAAAGTTTACGAAAAATAGGATATTTTGTGTATTTGAGCCATTAATTCGTGAAAAATATAAAAAATTGTAGAAGTTACGAGTATATACGATTTGAATTTGAACTTTAACCTTCAATAACATTCAAGCGAGTCGATTAAATGAATAATCATATTAGATCTTTTTTGAAGACCGGTCAATTTTCTACAAGAATATGTATATATTTTTACAATAAGCTCATTTGTTAGAACGCAATAAAATTTCCCAAAAAATTGTTTCTCCGTGTTATTTAAATGGGAAATGGAAAATCACAATGAGACATCTCATAATACACTCAACGGCAAAAAACCGGCCACTAAAAACTAGCCCCAATTTCATAGTTGGATTTGGATTTTTTTCGCGAACCACTCGTTAGATTTTGATGATTTTTTTATTTGTAAATTAATTTCTTCTTAACGAATGCTACGTCAGCAATTTTTATTCCGAATTTATTTTGAGCATATACAGGGTACAACAATATGACGAAGTTTTTTGTCCAAACTTTGTAACACCCTGTAGAGTGCAGCAGCTGTAGTAGCTATTGCAATAGCTATAGCCAAATCAAATCACATTGCAGCCTCATCTTTTGTGAGCATTTTGTTTTTTTAATCATGACATTATCTCTGTTTGTATTGGAGATACGCTGTTTTAAAACAAACGCCTCGAAAAAAGCTTTAAAATCAAATCAAACATCAGAACGTAGACGTAAACTAACTAAAACATGAAAATTAAAAAAAGATAAAGAAATTTTAAGGGACTTATATCTAGTGTCCACACGCCTGGTGAAATTTCCCGTTTCCATAAATATACCGATTCCATGCATCCTGGACTGTTGTTCGAAATATACCCAAGGTATCGGAGACATATCGTTGACTTCGGCCATCCCCAATTAAAGCCACAATACGAGCAACATCCGTTACAGATAATGGCATTTTTTTAATTTGACAAACGTTTTTCTCATATTGCAAAACTCATAAATCTGTTTTCGCCTATGTTGCCTTGATTATTTACACATAAAACTTTCTGTCTTTTCCGAGATGAATTCTGAATTTTTCCGAGACGTTCGTTTTAAAACAGCATATCTCCAATATAAAAAGAGATAATGTGGTGATTAAATAACAAAATGCTCACAAAAGATGAGGCTACAATGTGATTTAATTTAGCAATAGCTACTACCGCTGCTGCACCCCACAGGGTGTTACAAAATTCGGGCAAAAAACTTCGTCTTATTGTTGTGCCTGTTGTTTATTGTTGTATATGCTCAAAATAAATTCGGAATAAAAATTTCTGACATAGCATCCGTTAAAAAGGAATTAATTTACAATTTAAAAGAAAAATACCTAATCAAAATCTATTGAGTAGTTCGCGAGAAATCCAACTTTGAAACTGGGTCTAGTTTTAAGTGACCGGTTTTTTTTGCCGGTGAGTTTATATTAAGAGCTCAAATTTTACTATCTCTGTTTTTTTTCTCAGGTAAGATTTCGACAGACAATGACAGAAGAAAAGCAGATGACGTCCCATA